GGCGCCGGGACGGGGCCCGGTGCGACTTTGCTGGGGGAGGTCGGGGAGGGTGGGGGGTAGTCGGCTTTGTCAATAAAATCCTCACTGACTTAGCGGCAGAGTCCCCAGCCGGAGGCCTCATGTTACAAATGAGTGTCCCCGCAACCTGACTCCGCTCGGCGATGCCGGGAGAGCTGCGACAAACAGGCGGAGAATAATGAAGGCGATGGACGGCCATGTATCAATGACTGGCGAGAATGGTAAAGATCTCAGTAGGAAATCATGATTAGAGATGTGAAAGGCCAAATGGCAAAATCCCAGTAGTTACAATGCATCTGTTCATTAATGTGCGAATATGAGTAATATGAAAATTTAACACAATTATAAGCCCCTCAGCAATCCTGATGGCATAAAATAGATTGTGGTGATCTAATCAGCGCTTCCCCTGTTGAAATACTGTATGTTAACTATTTAAAATACTGTTATATAGATTTTTTCCACTTTAAAGTAATAATATTTAATTGATGTACTTAGTTTCAAACCTTCCTCGACTTGAACTGCAATTGTTACATAAGGCACTTCCAACAGAATGTTGATGTAGAATCATTAAATACTTCTGCTAATACTTAAAAAGAACTTTAATTCTGAAAGACAATAGCTTCCCCACCCCTATAGCTTTATAGAGCTAGAGACCTATATTAAATTACAGCTTGTTTTATTCTATTATATACCGTGTTAACATATTGTACTTACATAAAACATGCTATTCATATACTCAACCTATCACATTTCAGCAACTGCTTGTGAAATACATTATGCACCATATCTTGGAAACAAAGATTTATTATGTCATTTATGTACCCCATTAAAAAAAGATTTGAAATTTACACATCTTTAAAAATAACTGTTTAAGAGATTACAACTGTAGAGCTTTCATGAATTATTCTGAAACAAAGTCATCTTTTGTTCAGTTTTTTTTTAGACTTCATTGGGAAGATGATGCTTTCAAATTAAGAAGAGAAATAAACACTGTATCTTGCAAAGCACTCATTCTCTGGATTCATTAGAAAGTCAGTAAAACTTTTAATGCTTGCACATATAATGTGCTGTTTGAAATTGGGAAAGGTTGCCTGCACACAGAAAATGCTATTCCTGTGCCCTACTCCAGCACTTAACTCTCCTCTTGACCAAAACAATGTTCCTACATCCAAAATCTGAGCTGTATTGTGACAGATTTTGGATATGCATCAGGACAGTTATGCATTAATGATAATCTACACTAGCATTTACAAAAAGCTACCCACTGAACAGCTTTGCTGTTCCAAGTTTCACAGTTATTCAGAACGTTTCCTAATCGTACCTTCAATAGGGACCCAGGATTAACCCCGTTTCTTCTTCTGAGCCCCACTTGAGAGAAGAATACCCCCCATTACCTATTGGCAGCGTAGGTCTTTCAGCACACTGTAAAACAATTCCAAGTCTATCCACAGCATGGTATGAATACATCTACAAAAGAGTTGTTCATGGGATGTTTGTGAACAGTAATTCATTAATGTTTGGGAAACATTTTTGTTCCAGAAACATTATGAAAAGTGTTAAGTGTTGTTATGGAAGAGGATTAGGGGTACCGCACCAAAGAGAAAGACAGAGATGGAAAGACTAACAGGAATCATTAAGTAAATGTTGGTGAGGAGGAAACTGACTGAATTAACAGACACAAATTAATCCACAAAAATTGTTTCTGTTGTCTCTGTTCTGCACATTTATCACTCACTAGCTCTTTCTAGAGGTATTTACCACGCATTTTGTTTTCTTGTTTCACCCTTGCCTCTGTTTCTTTGCATCACTGCGTATGGCCATACCCACTGGTGAATGGCCCTTTGACTGTGCCAGCAGCGCACTGGCTCCTTGGTGCCCCCCAGCCCACCCTCCCTCCCTCCCTCCCTTGCCAAGCACCATCGAGGCTGACTGCCTCATCTACAACAATGAGACCTGGAGACTGATGCCAGCAAGCAGCAATTCTCACACAGGCCTTCAGTGCTCAGAATTAAACAACTTCCTCGAGGGTGTAACAGTGCCACATTAACTGCTCTGATTTGCATGTATGGATCGATCTGTAGGTGTTGGCCACACGTATACATACTCTGAATTGCTCTGACAGCACTGGAAAGCAAAGCATCTAAGCAAATTACCATAAAATCACTTTTTAATCTAACTTTTTGTATGCTAACAAGCATGCCACTGTCCATCTACTCTGTATTTGATGTTTAAATATAGCTTCATTGATTTATTTGCTTAAAAGACTTAAAGTTTTCACACTGAGAAAGGAGCGGTTTGTTTTCAGGAAGTGGCCGAGGCTACAAAGCCATAATAAGAGGCACCATTTTTAGCACTGTCTGCTAAACTTCTATTTAATTTAGTCTACTTCCAGAAGTTGCGTTAATTTTTTCAGGCATTGTAATCCCCCTTTGGGAGATTCAGTGGCAGTGCAGATGCACATGTACCTGAACCTGCCTTGGCAGCCTTCCAAAAGCGCAGTCCCACAGCGCAGTGTTTCCTTCAAGCCTAACTTCTCCAGTAGCTCTTTTGAATCCATGCTCCAGGGTCACAGTCCTGGAAATCCACTTATAAAAGCTTAGAATGGTCTTCACTGCCAAATCTCTTCCTATTACTCCTTTCTGCTCCTGCTGATTATTTACTAAAAGCAAACTTTGGTCTCATGCAGCTGCCTGCTTCCAGAGACAGTAATGTAATTCCATCATGCTGTAAGAAGGTACGGGATGGGGGCTCACCACATAAGGCACTTCCAGAAAAGCTGCATTTGAAGAGGAAAGAGGAGATCAAAGCTCTGACGTTATAAAGAAGAGAAAACTACAATATAAGGGAAGGAGGCTGATATAAATCAACTACAAGTTAGAGGAACAATGAGTCCTGGAGCCTTCCATTTTCATGGTGTCTGGGTGTCTGAGCACTGGTGCTCTCTAAAGGAGATGTCCAAAGTACTCCCTCCTCCATAACTACTGCGAACAGCTCTTGTCCCTGAGAACAAAATAAATGAAACACGTTTAGCCTCAGCGAGGATGATGACATGAAGTGTAGCAGAGTGAAGAGAAGCCAGGAGTTGCTCAATACCCAGACAGACCACCAGACATTTCCTGCCAACACACGTTATTCTTAGAGGAAGGAGTATTTGGTCGGCAAAAATGATAATGAATAAACTTTAGCACTGGCTGATAACCTTCCACTTCTGGCAAGCACCTTCCTTTAAATGATGAAAGATCTGGCAAATACCCTCCACCTATTATTCACCCTTTTCTTCTGCTGCAGTCATAAATATGTTACACCTGTTGGCCACAGTTCCACTCACTATTTCTACAACTCTCACCTATTGACGTGCCACCCCACTGGCACTCTGTTCTGTGTTAATGAACCACAATAAACCCTTTCTGGTTTAAACCAGGAAACAAGATTGAGGGCAGATTTCCAGTCTTCCTTTAAAAGATCAGACAAGCACATATATAGACACAGGAAATTTTTATTTTTATGCGGCCATTTTTTATTATGAAGGTGTTACCTATACAAAATCAGAAACCATTTTCATAGCAAAGAAAATAAA